AATGCAGGTCCAGGGAACAATAGAAAGGAGAGGCACTAAAACTCTCAGGCAGCAGCAGTTTTAGTTCTGCCATCACAGAACACTTTTACACAGCCTATTTGTTAAATTGCATGGTAAATTTGATCATCTATTATTATTTTTTTTTTGTCCCAGAAGTCTGTTCTTGCACCCACAATATGCAGAGGTTAAATACAATATACAACGGAAGAAGCCAGGACCCTCATGATGTTTCCTCACACCTTGCTGGTGATGGGTGCTATAACATGGTTCAGATGTACATTAGATTTGGTTGCTCCTTGCATATGAACTTTGGATGAGTCTGTAAATCAACAACACCAGTACCTGAAGAAGACTTTTTCCATTGAAGTGGCTCGTGTGACCTATACACTATTTGTTGTTGTTGTTTGACTGGCTTTGGTTTGGTGTTTTGGTTTGTGTGTTGGTTTGTTTTTTTTTTCCTGGGGTGGGGAGGGTTAGTTTGGTTTGCTGATTTTTGCTTATAATTTAAGCATGAGTCTATTTCACACAGAGCAGCAGAAGGCAGAACTAGTGCTAAAAAACAAACCCAGAAAAGTCCCTCAAAACCCCAAAGATTTTGACACCTTGATTTCCCACAGGAATCATTTACATGTATGCTTTCAGGTATCTGAATATTAACTGTGCCAGAGAATCAAGGCACAGGGATTAAGAAGTAGCACTAAGCATGCAGTCTTGTTTCCCCCAAGGCTGTTGGTACCAAAGGAACACAGTGAGTCTGCATTTCTGCAAATCTGGTGTTGTAGCAATGTCTGTGCAAGGGAAAAATAACCCAAGCCAACAACAAAACACACCAAGGAAAAATCAGATCTTGCACTGCACTCCTGTGAAGAGCAGACTCATCTCACTTTCTGCATGTAGCTTTACTTGTTTCATATGGACCATGCTAGTAATGCAGGCTTCAACTACTAAGAATCTCTTCACATATATATATATACATACATATATAATGTATATATTTTGAGATCCTAGAGGCTTTCCTAGCTGTGTAACAGATTACACTGTGCCTACTACAGTTTTAAAAGATCTGAAAATTTCCAAGACATCTAAATGCCTTGAAAGATCTCAGCCTTTGTACTTCTGCAGTAATCTGCCCCCAGCTGAGACCCTTCTCAATGAAACTCTGACTCCTGCAGGAATGCTGACATCTTTTCCCCCTGCTCTTCTCCTTCCACACCCTCCTAACTCTGGCTGGATGGAAGCCTCATGTTAAGACTGTGGCAGAAGGGCAGAAGTGGTGTTGCAGCCAGCTGACCCAGTGAGGAGGTGGGAAGGCTATGAGCTCCACAGTCTGTGAAATGCACACAGAAATGCAAGAGGCTGCTGGTCTTATAGTCATCAGCTGTCATGGCAATAATTTTTTCTCCTGAGGTGTCAGACTGGGGAGTGGTGTTTGTTCTTGGATATAATTCAGCATAACAATCAAATTAGGAATGAGTTTGAAACACTCTGAGCAGGTCTCTGCTCCCTAGGACAGCATTCACCAAGTGACTGAGCTGGGGTGTGTTTTCCCCTCACGGTGGTGTTTGCTGTGCATTTCTTTGCTAGACTTGGATAGTGGTCTCAGCTCAGGATCTGTGCATCTTTTAACAAGTTGTACTGTTGGTCTGCAGCAGCATCAGGGCTGTCACCCTCTTACTTCCTGGGACTTTGCCCACCTCCATTCCAGCTCCTCAGTTCCACTGGAGTTGTTCTCCTCCTGAAAGCACTGGTGTCCACAAAGAACATTGCCCTGCACCTCCAGTGTGACACAGCTGTCCCTGGCTGTCACTGCTGGCTGCCCAGTGAGGAGTGGCTCAGCTGCTTGCTGTCTCCAGGTAAGCTTGACTGCCAGGTCTGTCCTGCACCCCTGCCCCTCTTGGGGGATATTCTGGCCATAAATACTTACAAAGCTTCTCCAGTGCTCCTCTCCTCATTACATCTTGTGACTGTATTTGACGGCTGAAGCCAGCAGCCTGTAATCTGCTTGAACAGAGAATCCTGGAGACTGTTTGGAGCCAGGATGGGAGGGAGGGAAGTGCAGCTTCTGGGAGGGACCTGCCAAGGCCTGAGGTGACTTGTCTGCAAGAGCTGGAAGGTAGGTGATGGTATTTCTCCCACTGTAACACAATGCACTGCCCACTCTGAACATTTACTGTCAAAATCTCTGCTCAACTGATTTTGCCTCAGCATTGCTTCACATTGGAGCAAAAGAACATGATGTTGAGAAAAGTTTACATGCTGTGTCATGGCAGGAGATCCACATGAACAGACTCACAGCTGGAACAAAGAGACTTACCAAGGATTTCACTTTAGTCAAGCTCTCATTGCATAAGAATATTATACCAGCTGCATACACAGTTCTTAGAAATACAAATGTCTCATCAGAAAGCCTAGCATTTATTTAAATAGCAGGTTTTGCTAACCCAGTAACTTGCGATAGAAGTAAGCCTGGAGTTCAAGTCATCCATGACTCTTAGCAGAAACTGTTTGTCAGATTTCAAGTTTGCAAATGAAAATATTGTTGAAAAAAAACTGATGGCTGTGACGTAACTCTACACAGAGGTAAAAAAATTCTCTTGCTTTTTATGTGTGAGTGTTGGTGCCCTTACATGAGAAATGAAGAATAATTAAGACAGAAATATAGAAGTGGAAGATAGATGAGTGATTCTTCCTCATCCTGTGTTCTTTGGCTGGAAAATGGTATGTATTGAAATGGGTTGCTGATAATTGCCTTCTAGAAATTATATTTATCCAGAATATCAAAGAGCAGAAAGGGGCCACAATAGTTTATATATATATATATGCTTGATCTAGTAGTGTAATTGTCACTGAGACAAACTGAAGTAGTATTTATTTCATGTTACAAGTCTTTCACAATTCAGAAGCAGTGATGACTGAAACTTTGGGGTGGATTTTTTAAAAAAAATCCTGTCAGTAAAAAAAAAAGAATTGTATGAGATAAATATGAGATTTTCCTCTCATAGGGTACATGCGCAGAAATTTTAACAGCTATATGATACATGAAGGGAGAGTGGGGAGGGAGCAGTTAAGAACATACCCATAAATTGAATTTGGGGACACTCTGAAATATGTGCCAGCTGCTCATGGCCAAGACAGTAATTATGCAGTATGTCTGTATAATCTTCAGGGTGCTGTGGAGCAGCTTCCATCTGCAAGTTGTCCTTTACTTTCGCTGCTTCCACATCACTGCTGACTGTGCAGCTATTAATATTGAAAGCAAGGGCAGCAGCTGCACACTCTGCATCAGACGGATCCATGCGTCCTCCAGCTGGAAGCAAGCACAGCCATCAAAACAAGCTGTTGGTGGTGGCTGATATTGTATTTCAAGAGAGACTTTTTTCTGAGGAGCAATGAATTGCTTCTCTGTGCAACACTCAGATACTGCCTTTTTGCTGTTCTGAGTCAATGTTTCACTTCCATTTGTTTTCTACGCTGTTAACTTGCAAGCACAAAAACTTCCTAGGAGGCTGAACTTCTCAGTGAGTTTGATTTTAGCAGAAGCCTGTAAAGCACTTATTGAAGATAAGGTGTCCTTCTGAAGGAAAATACCATTCAGAGAACCTAACTGCACAGAGTACCTCACACAGAACCCCCACATCACCTGTGCCCTCGCAGCCAAGGAGGCCGCCCACACCCTCACGTCATGACATTGCACAAAGAGTTTGAGACCTTTGAGCTCCCCTTCAGGGAGCTCTTCATGCTCCAGAGTGTCTACCGTGTTCATGGGGATGTCATTCAAGGAGCCAATTCCCTTCCAGCAGGCAGCGCTGCCTTCTCAGTGCCTCCCTTGTTTCCTGGGCAAGGGGGGTGCTCCAGGGCAGCATCTCCCACCTGTGGACTGACCTCCACTGCTTGGCCTTGGCCGTGCCCTGGTGCTACCTACTCAACACCTGTGGTCAGGACCTCTCCTTGAAGAACAACAGGGAGATCATGCAGCTGCTGAAGGGCCTTGGGGGAACATCACACCCAGAGTGCTGCCACCTCCCTACCTGCACCACCTGCACGTGCACAGGGAGCAATTTTACTCTTCCTTCTCTTTCATGCTGTGGACATTTGTGTGCAAGACACCGCCGGCCAGAAAACCTGGACACCTATTCTGGTACATGGCCATCACCTGGCTTTTTGTGGGGTTCATGCTGTAGGACCAGCATGTTCTTCATCTGCTGGTGTGGCCCAGGGACACCAACAGCCCTGAGGGGCACTCCTGAGCCCTGAAGGATCCCAGGTGAGAATGCTTTCACTTGTTTTTTCTGTAGATTCACTTGTGCTTGCTTCACACGTGAACAAAGCTGGAGGGGGACTTCTTGCAAGATTATGCAGTGATAGGACAGTGGGAATAGCCTTAAATTTAAAAAGGGTCGGTTTAGATTACATATAAGGAAGAAATTCTCTGCTAGGTGGTGCTGTGGCAAAGGAACAGACTCCCCAGGGAAGTAGTGAATGGCCCATCCCTGGAAGTGTTCAAGGACAGGTTGGATAGGGCTTTGAGGAACCTGGTCTAGTGGAAAGTCTCCCTGCCATGGAAAGGGGTTTGAAACTACAAAATCTTTAAGATCTTTTTTCCAACCCAAACGATTTTATGATTCTATTTCATAGGTGCACACGCACATACACATGCAGAAGCATTATCTGAAGTTGATTTTGGCAAAACCTAGATGAAAAATTTAATTGTTATATAAGCCTGACTTATCAAATAATCTTACTGGCCCTTTTTGAGCATTGAGGGAGAGGTGCCTGTGCTGTCCAGAATGTGCATTACTGTTCCATATCTAAGCATAAAGATGTCTGAGGATCTAAGTTCAAACAGAAATCCTTGGACATTTCAGCTGATTCACCTGTAAAATCTGAGATGAGGAAGATAAAAGTAATAAAGATTAAAATATGCAATCTATGCAAGCATTGTAGTGGAGAAATTTTGTACAAGATGATTATTTTGGTGTGGGAAATTCTATTTTTCAACAAATTGAAGTTAATTCCTCCCAGAAAATCTGAATTCAGTCTGGAGTTGACTTCCAGTCTTCCCGTGCTTTTCTATGGGACCACACACAGCAGCTCTCCCACAGCAATTGCAAAGAACCCACATAACTCATAACTACTGCCTAAACTCCATTGTTCAAGGTCAAGAATTTATGCAGAGAAGCAGAATAAGAACCAGTATTTTCATCTTTACTGTGTGTATTAACTATTACTTTCACCTTTTTCACATGACTGGGGCAGGGTCAGAAGATGAACAGGATTTCACCCTCATGCATGTTGCTTTTAGAAGCACCTGGTAGGACTCCAGTGCTCCCAACTGCCTAGACCTTCCAGAGCAGGGATACCAGCCCAAAGCAGGGATATGAGGAATGGAAGCACAAGTAAATTTTTTTTTTCTTATGTTTTTCTTTCTTTCCACCTTCTCCCTACTGTAACTTGTGGGAAATAATCATTAACAGAGGCAGAGCATCTTCATTTTCACTTTCAAATTAGCACATAACTTCATGAGCATAGTGTTTCCTCTTCTGATAACTGTTTTACAACTGGCCTGCACAAGAAGTGCAAGTGATTATTGATTGAGATATTTATAGTATAATTATGAGCATATATTATTTGTAGCTAGATCACTTTTCTAGGAAGCTGTTTTCTCTGATCTTATTACAGTCCATTGCCTCAGAAGCCATAAACTTGGGACCAGATATGTTCTCCACAGTCAGAAAGCTTTAAGTGGTTGTCATTTTTTGTACTGCACTGTGTACCTCACATAGCCTGCATATTTCATTGTTATTTCCATGATAACCACTGTATGTTTTCCAGTGTGGGCATAACATTTTATTGTTGTTGTTCTTTTTGCATCTGAAAGATGCAACATTTGCACAGCACATATGTTTGGGGTTTTTTTTCCTTCTTTTTTTTCCTTGCCATCACATTAGATTACCTGTCCAAAAGTGGCCATGTGGCTCTGACAGATGTGCTCAGGATTTGGAACCCAAACTTATAAGGATAACACTCAGACACTCACCTGAATGTATCCAAGTCAGATCCAAGAGTGCCGGGCAACTCTGGGGTGAGAAGTCATCCCTCTCAGTGTGTGTGATGTCAACCGGGGACTCAGTTTCAGGCTCTAACAAAAAACTCCCATCCAAGTTTCACCAAACTATTTCCTTTAAGTTTCCAGGCGCATCAAAAGGAGATAAAGATGTCAGGATGTGGTCTAGCTGTTAGAACAAAAAGTTGCAGGCCTCCAGGCAAGCAGAGAAGTCATTGAAGGACCAGTTTGGATGGATAGCATACCACAAAAGAACTAAACCAGTTATTTGTAGTATCAGTATCAGCCATGATAATCTCAGTTCAGATAAAAGATAAAAAATACTTGTCCACAAATCTTAAAATAGCATGTTTATTGGCTAGAGTCGTGTTATGAAGACTAAGACTTTTTCTTACCCCCTTAAAGGCTAAAGACTTTCAATCTTACTCAGCTGGTTTTCAAATAACAGCCCTAACTTATCTTTGGTATTTATCTCAGGCCGCTTATCTTGCACATGACTCCTGCATGACAGAAAATTCTTGAAAGTCACCTTTCAGATAAGAAAGAGAGGCATGGGGGAATTAAGGGAAAGTATTTCTAAGGTATGTAGGTCTGAAGTGTCTGGCTGGCCCTCAATGACTTTCCCCAGGACTCCGGAGAAGCACACACCATCATGGTGCAGGTCAGTGGCCACGTCCCAGGCCAGCAGCGTTACCACTGGGACACCTTTCCTCTCTCTGCTCATATAAAGCAGAAAGTAGGTTCTGATGGCCATGGGAGAGGTGTGCATCCCCAGGCCGTGCTACTGAGCCCCCTTGCTTCTTCCAAGGCAGGTTCCTGCCCTCACTTTCATGCAGTATAGTCACAGCACATGAATGGTTTGGGACACAAGCAGTCTCGGGTGAAAACAATCGCTCAGGGTATTCAGGGGTGCGTCCACTGGCAAACACCTCTGCTGGTCACCAGCATTTTATGCCTTGTTCAAGTAGGAAAATAAACATCACAAGAAGTAATAGCAGCACTTCTCATTCGGAGACACCAACATGCTTTTACAAGGGAGATCAGTGGTTTTATTTTCAATTCACAGAAGCAGGCAGAAAAGGGTGAAATGATATTCCCAGTATCTTAAAGGAGACCACGGGCAAAGCCAGCGCTGTGGTACACTGACACCAGACTCCAGCCTAATGCACTGGACTAAACTGCTTTTCAGCACTGGCTGACTTCTGGAATGACAGAATGTGGTTGCACTGTCGCCTCTGCTCTCTTTGCTAAGGGTGAGTGTGCACAACATGTGTGAGCACCAGAAGCTCTTTGTTGCCAAAATAACCCTTCCTGGAGTCTCTCTTGACAGATTCTTGGCAAGTTGGCCTCTGTCCTTTCTGTGCTGCTAGAAAGACACTAGAGCTGTTACTGCAGCCTGGGAAACATATCGGAGGCATTGTCTCTTCCCTGCTTTAATAGGATGTGTGCAACAGCTGCTGCTGCTGCTGCTGTGGGGACCAGTTTTCCAATGTTCTCCTTTCCTGTTGCTTCCCTTCCCTGATGACAAGTGCAAGAGACAGCAGGGTCTGGCACTCATCCAGGATCTTTGTTCCTGAATACCACAAAAAAAGCCCTGCATGAGAGCATTCACACCCAGGCGTTGATTTTCCCACCTCACCCTAAGCCCAGCATCAATAATCTCATTCCAGTACTCCTATCCCCTCAGATGCACTTATTGCAGGGAGGTGAGGGAACACACTTCGGGATCACTCGGCTGAGGCAGCGATTCAGTGAGAAATACCAATCGAAATATAAGAGGTGCTAAATGCTTAGCAATTCCCTCAGGCTAAGAGCTGCAAGAGAAAGTTTGCCTGTAAAACCGGTTGCCACAGCAATCACCCATTCACTCCCTGTTCGAGTGCCCAGGACTGTCCTGGCTGCCGAACAAGGCTGGAGCAGCCCTTCCGAGCTTCCATGCAAGAAAAGACACTAATGTGTGGTTCCTCTCTCTTCCCCAAAATGTGGGTCATCTGTTCCAGGGGAAGGGGGTGGGAAAGGAGCACCGTGTCACAGCCGCTCTCGTGCCAGCTCAGAAGGGACATGGGGTACACAGCGTGCCAGTCACTGCCTGCTGCAAACCTGACTAACTAACCTAACTAGACTAACTTCTGCACAGTGTGAATATGAGGTAGCTCATTACTGGAGCAGGTAGCCCACAGTGTCCTGTGCCAGCCCACAAGCTCAGACCACTCATCATCTGAAAGGGTAGCTCACATTAACCACAGGGCTGCTTTCCATCAGACAGAGGCATCTGAGAACACGAGCAGCCTAAACCTGCAATCTTTCAGTGTATTTTTGTTGCTGCTACTCTTGACACCAAAATTTGGAATCAGTGGAAGATGATGTTGCATTATAGCTTGTGCTCACTTTTCCAAGGATTCACACAGCCACATGCCAGCCACAATTCCAAGTGGTTTTGACACAGTTGCTTATTGTGCCTGTCTAAACTCAAAGAATCAGACTCACCTCAGCTCTCTCCAGGCAGGAAGAAGGCTGCTAACATAGCCATGAATTTTGTCTATTATCACAAAGGAATGAAAATGGTGGATAGTTTGGTTTGTGGGTGGAGTGTTAAACCACTCCTAGACTTTGAAAGTTTATCTGCATCATCCTGATGTCAAGTCCTCAGTTGGTATACAGAAAAATAAGAAAAATAAGAAAAATGGCCACGAGTATGTCTCCAGCAGAGGCAGTAGGATCACAAGGGAGATGGGAGTTGTCCTTCACTGCAGTTTATCTGATGCTATAGCCTTACTTCCCAAATAGAGCTGTCAGCTGTCAAAGAACACTCCCCTTGAATGTGAGAGTGAGATGAAAGAGAAATACCAAAAAATTCTGAGTATCACCACTGGTATATTAATCTACCACATTAGCCATTTCCTTGTTTCTACGTTTTTACGTGGCCAGTTGCTTGAACAGACAGACCTGTGGGTTTGTTTCAGATGCTTTAGCGTCCACTGAACTTTTCAGCAAAGCAACTTAATAAGTCTAAATAATTTTGGTACCTCTCCCCATCCCACTGTCATTTGTAGACGGGCTCTTGGAACAACCTTCCCTGCAACGCATACATCATATTAATATACACTAATGTGGTTC